GCAAATGACACCAGGTCTCAAGTCGGAGACATGATGGGGAATGTTGGGGTCCGAGGCAAATGGCAGTGTCTGCCCCAGCCGTGGGGGGCAGCGGTATTTACCTCCAGACAGCGTGGCAATGCAAGAAATCAGGCCCAGTGCTTTCCAGTCTAGATGTTCAACAGAAACCAGGTATCTGGATTTTTACAGGAAATATCCTCACTTTTTGTGTTAGTTATCTATCACTGCAGAGCAAATTACCCTAGAAGTTAATAGCTTGAAGCAACAATGCACGGTATTATCTCACACAGTTTCCAGGAATTCAGGAGTGGTTTAACTGCGGGGTTCTGACTCAGGGCTCAAGAAATTGCAGGTAAGACATAGGCCTGAGTGGGGCTGGCAGATCCACTTCCCTGATGTTCCCCCACAGGCCAGCAAGCTCCTACTGGCTCTTTGCAGGGGCCCTCAGCTCCTTGTTCCATGAATCTGTCCATAGGGCTGTGCCTGTCCTCACCGTATGGTGACCGGCTTCCAGAATGAGTGACCTCAGAGAGCAAGGTGGAAGCCGCAGAGCCTCAATGACTTAGATTCAGAAGTCACACTGTCCATTGTGACACCCTCCATTGGTTAGAAGTGAGTCACTAAACGCAGCCCATGCTCCAGGAGAGGAGAATTAAGCTCAAGTTTTTGAGGGGAGACATATCAAAGAATTGTGGACTCATTTTAAAATCATCACTTTTTTTTTTGGCCGCGATGCGCGGCTTGTGGGATCTCAGTTCCCCTACCAGCAACTGAACCCGGGCCATGGCAGTGAAAGCCCGGAATCCTAAGCACTAGGACACCAGGGAACTCCCAGAACCATCACATTTTAAAACGCTGGGAAGTAGTTCAGATATAAAGCGTGCTGCTCTTCCCCAACCAGTGTAGGACAAACAACAGCTCTGAAGGCTGGATTCGTTCATGGACCGTCAAAGCATATCGTCTGCACCATTCTGTGGGATCAAAGGGCCATATGGCAATAATATATGCAATCCTCACCCTTTTGATTTTAAGGAAGACAATTTCTGTGCTAACGCTAAGAAGTAGCACGTGATCTGTGCATCTCACCCTGAAGGGTGAGAAGGAGCTAGTCACGCAAAGATGTGGAGGAAGAGCATTTTAGGCAGAAGGACCAGTAACTGCAAAGGCCCTGGGGCAGGAATGAACTTGGCCGAGGAAAGATTCAGAAAGGTTTGTGTGGTTACAGCAGAATTACATGGAGAGAGACCTGAGATGGGGCAGAGAGATAGGTACAAAATAGGTAATGTACGACCTGGCTGGCCTTGGGTTTCAGTTATCTGAGTGTGATAGATAGGAAAGCATTGCAGGGGTTAAGAGGGGAGAAGGATGGTCTGATATGTTTTCAGAAGATCACTCTGTGCCTCCCGATAAGATGCACTGAGAAGGACATAGCATCACTTCTGGGGTGTCCCGACCCAAACTGCATACCCTGAATCTAGTCCTGAGGAAATATGAGACACGTCCAAATGGAGGGACCTTCTACAAAGCAATGGGCCTATGAAATACTCAGCAAAAGGGTCCAGGCCATGAAAGACAAAGAGGAAGGTACTGTCCTGGATTCAAAGAGACTAGACAGAAAGAGAAAGACAAATACCATAGGATATCACTTATATATGGAATCTAAAATAAGACACAAATGAACATATCTACGAAACAGAAACAGACTCATGGACATAGAGAACAGACTGGTGGTTGCCAAGCGGGAGGAGGTTGGGGGAGGGATGGAGTGGGAGGTTGGGGTCAGTAGATGTAAGCTTTTATATACAGAATGGATAAACAACAAGGTCCAACTGGGGCATTCCCTGGCAGTCCAGTGGTTAGGACTCCACACTTTCACTGCCAAGGGCCCAGGTTCGATCCCTGGTTGGGGAACTATAATTCCATAAGCCATGTAGTGCGGCCCAAAACAAAAAAAAGGTCCAACTGTATAGCACAGAGAGGTCCAGTGGTTGAGGCTCTGCAATTCCACTGCAGGGAGCGCAGGTTCGACCCCTGGTCGGGGGTACTAAGATCCTGCATGCCTCGAGGCGCGGCCAGAAAAGAAAAAAAAAAGAATGTATATGTGGGGCTTCCCTGGGGGCGCAGTGGTTAAGAATTCACCTGCCAATGCAGGGGACATGGGTTCGAGCCCTGGCCCAGGAAGATCCCACATGCTGCGGAGCAACTAAGCCCGTGAACCGCAACTACTGAGCCTGCGCTCTAGAGCCCATGTGCTACAACTACTGAGCCCATGCGCCACAACTACTGAAGCCTGTGTGCCTAGAGCCCGTGCTCCACAACAAGAAAAGCCATCACAATGAGAAGCCCACACACAGCAACGAAGAGTAGCCCCTGCTCGCTGCAACTAGAGAAAAGCCCTCGCGCAGCAATGAAGACCCAACGCAGCCAAAAATAAATAAATATTTAAAAAGAAAAAGAATGTATATGTGTATAACTGAATCACTTTGCTGTACAGCAGAAACTAACACAACATTGTAAATAAACTATACTTCAATTGAAAACAAAGAGTTAGGGACTAGCAGGACAGGTCAACGTAACGTGTAATCCTGGAGGATCCTGCACCAGATAAGGGCAGGAGGGAGAAAACTGCCAATAAAGTCCTATACATTTGATAGTTCGATATTCGATAACATTCGATATTCGATAACAATATGAATTTCCCAATTTTGGTAGTAAGTGTGCCGTGATTATGTAACAGAATGTCCTGAGGTTTTAAGCAGTACACACAGAGGGGTGTCCTGTTTGCTATTTAGTTTCAAACATCGCAGTGGGAAAAAAATCATATGTATATATATGATCTACAGAAAAATGTATGTACGATATATATACTGTGACACAGCAGGCTAGGATGGTAAAGACAAATGATCAAGTAAATAATGTTAACGTTTGGGGAAATCAAAGGTAACGGATTCTGAAATTCCTTGTACGATATTTGCAACATTGTTTTTGGTATTTGGCAGCAATTTTTTTAAACTACAGGTTAAGCATCAGCTTGCAATCCACACCGGACGCCAGAGACAAGTAAGTACCTCTGTGAACTGCGAACGAACCGATCACCCAGGAGCTCTGTCTAGAACAGCTAGTACTCTTGGTTTGGTATATAGCCCCTTAGCATTTTTGTCGGAAGAAATTTTTTTTGAATGACAAAAGGTATAAACGTGTTCTCACCACCCAGAATTATATAATGGTTAATAGGCTGTCATATTTGCTTCAAATCACCTTTTAGAAAAAAAGAAGCAGACATCGCAGATAAAGTTACAATCTTCGTTGACCTCTCATCGTTCCATCAGAATCCTTTTCACCATTTCTTGAAGCGACAGCCATCAGAACTCAGTCTATATCCTTGCACTCAATTTTTTAAAACCTACATTCAAGAACTAATATGGTTTCTGTGTATTTGTAAAAAACATAAGCAGTGTTATACTATATGTATAACCTCTATAAAGTTATGTATAGACTGTATAAAGCTATTATCACATCTTCCTTGAACTTGCTTCTTTTTTCTCAACATTAGCCTTTTGAGAGCTACCTAACCCTGCTGATTAGATGAGCTTCATTCTTTTTAAATGCTGTACAGTAAGTCCATAGTCTAGATAATAGATTTTATTTATAAATTTCCCTGATGGACATTTATGTAAGTTTAATCTTTTGCTATTATAAATAATGTTGCAGTGATCATTGTGATATTTGTCTTCTTGGGCATATGTGTGAATTGAACTCTAGGGCATCTCCCTAGAAATGGAACTATAAAGGTCATAAGTCATGGACACTTATATGTGTTTTATGTTTCTACCTTCCCAAGTGGCCAAACCAGTTTACACTCCCACCAGCGGCATCGAGGTTGGCTTGGTGTTTGCCTGAGGGTCCTTAGGGACCCTCGGACCTGAGTTCCCAGCGGGCAGGTTCTCAGATCTGTTGTGCCCAATTTGCATCACTTGCATTCCCAGCAGACTTGTCTGCAAGTGTGCTCAGGACTAGGTAGCCAACTCCTTGTCATTTTGGGTTCTCTTTGCTCTGGGAGGACTCCCCATGGTGGCATCTTTCCCAGGGAACTTGACTATCCTGATGGGGCCATTAGCTGTCTGCTCTTGCTGCCAGCCGTGGATGCTTGCTTGGGGAGAGGGGCCACCATATGAGTTTAAAAATCCGTGGCTGTTCAGACAAATGCCCCAAACTGGCCTTTTATAGTTAGGATGTTTGTGAGTTTGGAGGACTCCCTTCGGCCAACATCTTTGCTGAAAGCCAATGAAGGATAATAACCCACACTTGTTGAGCTGGAGGTGTACCTCATTTTCCATCTTTGACAATACTGAGAGGAGGCTATGCCCCAGGAGAATGTAAGTTCTATGCGTGAACAGTTCTTGTCTGGACCCTTGACCCTGGAACCTAAATACTCATGGATTGCATCCCTGGTTTGTCACTAAGATGAGAAGAGCTGCCACGGTGGGAAACACTAAATTTCATCATCCTGTTTGCAGAATTAGGGCCACAAAGGCTGCCGACCACTTAGATGCTCTAAGAATAAGGTGGCCGTCTTTCCAAGGTGGGAAAAGCATCGGTCTCTGCTTCCTTTACTTCCCAGAAGGTCCTGACCGAGACGGGGGCGCGGGGAAAGGGCCGGAGGGAAGGGCGGGTAGGGAGGCCCGCACCCCAACATGGCGCCCGCCCCGGGCCCGCCGTGCCGTGTTTGTACGCAGGGGCAGGGCCTTTGTGTGGGCCACCCCGCGAGTTTCCCGCCCAAGGGGGCCTCGGCCCTCTCCTTCCACTTCTGTTCCCGCGGTGGCAGCTGGGCGCGCCTCGTCACCGTCGGCGCATGCGCGCGCGGGAACCCGCCCTCCGGGCTGGCGCACGTGGTCCCGCGGGCCGGCGTGCGTGCGCGCGACCGCCTAGCCTCCCGCGCCCGGCGCGCCGGGAGCCTCTCCCTATGCGCCAGGCCAACGGGCACAGCCGCCGGAGCCGGGGCGGCGTGCGTGCGCGTGCGCGAGGGGTCACGTGGGAGCGACGCGGCGCCGTTGCCCCGCCCTCCCTCGGCGCGCGCTGGCGTCGGCTGCGTCTCCGGGCATTTGAATTGCGCTTCCGCCATCTTTCCAGCCCTCAGTCAGACGGGCTCGGAGACGCTTCTGGAAGGTAGTGGGGCCGGGGCGGGGGCTGCGGTGCCGGGGCGGGGGCGGGGATCGGGGCGTCTCAGCGGCGGCGGGAGGCGGCCGTGAGGCGGTGGCTGCGTGGGGACCCCGGGCTCCGGGAGGAGGGCCTTCCTTCCTCTCTGGCCGCGAGGGCGCCGGGACCCGAGCCGCGGTGGGCCGGGCGGGCGGCCGGGGCGGAGGGGAGGCCGGGCGGCCGGGCCGCGGGGCTGTAGGAGAGATCCGGCCGGGGCGGCCGGGCGGAGGGCCGGGGGGCGGCCGGGGAGCGGCCCGGGCTGGCCGCGGGCCGTGACCGGGCGCTTTTCGCGCCGGGGCCTCGGCGCCGAGCGGGCGCGAGCCGGGCCCCGGCGGCCGGGGGAGCCGAGCCGGGGAGCAGCGCCTCGCCGCCATCGCCGTCGCGCGCCCTCGCGGCCCCCGCGCGCGCGTGTGCGTGTGTGTGTGTGTGTGTGTGTGTGTGTCGGGGTGGGGGTGGGGTGCGGGCTGCCGGGCTCCGGGGTGGAGGCCTTTGTGGGCCCGGGCACGTGGGGCGGGTCCGGCCATGCGGCCTCACTTCTTTCTCCTCTGCCCGCAGTAGCATCGCGATGGCTGCGCAAGGAGAGCCCCAAGTGCAGTTCAAGGTGGGTATCCGAGGGGGTCGGGAGGAAGGGCGGCCCTAGGAAAGGGGGGCCCCGCGTCCGGACGGCCTAAACGGCGGGGCCTTCTTCGTGACCGCGGCCGGCTGCCGTTGGCCCGCCTCGCCGGCCAGCGTGCTGGTGCTGCGGCAGTGCCTTCGGTCCCCTGACGACGGGGGGGGGGGGGGGGGGGGGGGGGGGGGGGGGGGCGGGGGGGAGGGGCGAGCCCCGCCCTGCGCGCGGGGAAGCTGGGCTCGGAGCTCCGCCGGTTCGGGTCATTCGTGAGATGGGACGGGGCTGCTGTCTTAAGATGCTTTGTCTTAGGTGTGCTCAGGGGGCATGTAGAGTTCTTCCCTGTGAGACGGCGGTCCAGAGCACCGGGACAGTGTCACAATCCCGAGGTCCTGAGACCCGTTCCGGTGTTTACTTCAAAGATGTGTTTCCCAACAGCTCGTATTGGTTGGTGACGGCGGTACTGGGAAAACTACATTTGTGAAACGCCATCTGACTGGTGAATTTGAGAAGAAGTATGTAGGTACGTGGGGGAAACGGCGTGTGAAAACATGTGGGAGATGGATGAGGTCACTGACTAACTTTCCACGCTTATGTTTCAGCCACCTTGGGCGTTGAGGTCCATCCCCTTGTGTTCCATACCAACAGAGGACCCATTAAGTTCAACGTATGGGATACAGCTGGCCAGGAGAAATTTGGTGGACTGAGAGATGGCTATTACATCCAAGGTGGGTATCTGCCTCGTAACCGGCCGCCTATGAGAGGATTTGTAGCTTCCCGTCCAAGGCTGCTTACAGATCATCAGGTCTGTTCCGGCAGACACGTGCCTCATGCTGACTGAACTGGCCATTGCGCGATGCGCTTCGATTCAGGAGGTGGGCTGGCTCCTGAGAGCTGACCCTCAGTCGGAGGGGAGGAGATCCTGTGAAGGTTGTCTGGTGCCATTTGATTGCATGCTTGCGTCTCCGTAGGCACTGTTTTGAAAGAGGTGATGCGATGTATGTTGAGGCTCTTAATTTAAAAACTGGAAGCAACAGACAAGGTGTTGCTGCAGCCCCAGTATTTGAAAACTTAGGTTTGGGTATATATTTTGGTGGTAGTCGATGATCATTTCTTCTGCACTCCATTAAAAAGGTGGTAAACAGTTTGACCAGATCCTGGACCAGAGGCACTAGGCTTTCTATCTTATAAAATGTTGTATAAGACCAGCCGGTTTCTTTTTAATTTCACTAGGTCTTGCAGAATATTTTTTTCAGAGGGCTTGATTTTAAAAGTGCAAAGGAAATAAATGCATCTCATTATACCCAGCAAAAAGATGAACAAAGAAAATGCTCAATGTAAGACTTTCTCTCCTCGTGAAAATCGTTGGGAATCTTTCCATGTCTTTTGCCTTACGAGAGTGCGTACAACTGCAAAGATTCTTCCTCTCCCCGCCCCCATTCTTTAGCTAAAAATCTGTTTAATGTATCACGCATACTCAGTGGCTTACCAGCTTTATCATGGCTGTTTCTGCAGGTCAACATAGAGACTTAACTGAGCTTTTAAAAATAGGCACACTATATCCTAGTGTGTTCAGCCATTTAAGAACGTTTTTAAAGAGTAGATTGCTAGATCCTCAGAATATGGGAGGTGAGTTCCCTGGAATGCTGATTTATCGTTGATCTACTGGATACTTTTTTGGGATGAGGCAGAACTTACGAAGTATTACAGGTAGAGAGATTTCATATGGTAAACTGGTCTTTCATGGTTTCATGTACAGTAAAATGGACTTTTAAATAATACTGTGTATTAAAATGGTTTGAGATTTTTGGAATTGGTAGAGATCTTGAAAATGCGTAGAGAAACGTGGCTGACCTGGAGTTAGGCCTGAGACTGTGAGTCCATAGTTCTTAGCATGCTTCATCCATGTAGCAAATTCTTAGGCCGACACTAATTTACTGTAAATGCTCCTTTCAGCTCAATGTGCCATCATAATGTTTGATGTAACATCGAGGGTTACTTACAAGAATGTGCCTAACTGGCATAGAGATCTGGTACGAGTGTGTGAGAACATCCCCATCGTGTTGTGTGGCAACAAAGTGGATATTAAGGACAGAAAGGTTAAGGCAAAGTCGATTGTCTTCCACCGAAAGAAGAATCTTCAGGTATGTTTCTTAGAACTTACTGGATTTATGATCCTTAGGTAAAATTATAAGTCCATTAAAGTGCTTCATCAATGTCTTTGATGTATGGGTTTTTAAAATTAATTTTACCTCTCATTTAAACAGTACTATGACATCTCCGCCAAAAGTAACTACAATTTTGAAAAGCCCTTCCTCTGGCTTGCTAGAAAACTGATCGGAGACCCTAACTTGGAGTTCGTCGCCATGCCTGCTCTTGCCCCGCCAGAGGTGGTCATGGACCCAGCGTTGGCAGCGCAGTACGAGCACGATCTAGAGGTACGGTGTGTGCGGCTCGGTAGTGAATGCTTTTAGGTTCCTAGTGGTTTTCATCTGGAGCATGACAACGTTTTCATCTCTGTGTCTAGGTTGCTCAGACAACTGCCCTCCCGGATGAAGATGATGACCTGTGAGAAAAGTGAAGCTGGAGCCCAGCGTCAGAAGTCTAGTTTTATAGGCAACTGTCCTGTGATGTCAGTGGTGCAGCGTGTTTGCCACTTTATTATATAGCTAAGCAGAACATGTGCTTGATGTTTGGGATGCTGAAGGAGATGGATGGGCTTTGGAGTGAATGTGGCAGTTAAAAAAAAAAAAAAAAAAACTTCATTTTTTTGGACCTGCATATTTAGGTGTTTTGGAACACAGTTCTTTCCTCCTTAAGTTTCAAATATAAGACTGCTACAGTCACATCACAATATCCAGTGGTGGAATCTTGTTTGTTACTGTCATTCCCATTCCTTTTCGTTTAGAATCAGAATAAAGTTGTATTTCAAATATCTAAGCAAATGAACTCATCCCTCGTTTAAATGAGCATTTTAAAACCACTAACAGGGAAAATTGTGCCATGTTAGTATCTGAATTGCCTTTGCTATTACTACTTAATTTGAAGTCTGTTAGGTTAAATTCTTCTAATTTTCTGTACATGTGAATCATTTCACACAAATGAAATGACAGGTCAACAGTATTGTATTCGGTAAGTCGTTAAGAGGTGTAAATACTGTCAATGCAGTTAGGCTAAGATAATACCTACCCCACCTGTCTTTTGGCCTAGGTAGTGTCACATCTAGGGAGGAGCTTGTTTGAGATTTGTGTGACCTGTCAGAATAAAAGTGGTACCTGTTTTAGACGTTTCAAATAGAGATCTTAAGAATTATAGTTGCTTTTATGGCAAAAGTAACCATGTTCTAATGTAGAGCTTCTCAAAGTCTGATGAAACCATACAGATGGTTGCGGGAACTTGAGGGACGTCTCATCTGTTAAAAATGAATATAAATTGTGCGTTTACTTGCCTTTTGTTTCAGCATTAACATGTTTAACGTAAAGTTGGTATTCTAGGAAGATGTTCCACGTTTACCTGCTGTTGTCAAGTACTCCCAAGCTTTAAAGATGTCAAAGATTAAGGATTTCATTGGACACATCACAGCTTTGGTGGGTTTTCTCCCCACAAAGAATTTTTGTGGGCGGTGCAAGGACACAGCAGCGTGCTGCAACAGAAAAGTAGGGCTTAGATTGGCTTCTCAGTGAAGTGAAACAAGACTGCCAAAGTCTCAATAGGTTAACCACTTACGTTCCTATGGTTTCCACATATAAACATGAATTGAGTCCGTCTTGCCTGAGTTTGCTCCCATCGACACCATACTGTAGCAATTAGAAGTGAAAGTAAGAGCTGTTTTGCTCATGTAAGTACTACTGTACTCTAGTGCAGTTTACCAAAGTTCTTCAGGTGTCCAGTTATCCTTAAACGATTACTTTCCTACC